AAACACAATGAAAACAACAATGACTTTTGTTATCACTCCTATGGTTCTTTTCCTCCTTGTTCCCATTGATGGCATGGTTCCTGCCATAGTTCAGTTGAAAATCAAGTCTAACAAGGCAGAATAAAGCAGTAACAGAGGTAAGCACTGTCCTCTATGGAAGCACAGACGAAGGACATGCAATTAATCTAGCAAGTCAGAGAGGGCTTCCTGAAGGGGTGACAAGAGACTGAGTCAAGAAAGGAGAGATGAGTCAGCCTGGCCTTGGGGACACCAGTCAATCCCAGGTAAAGAGAGGAGTGTGTGCACGGACTCAGAACCTCATGTGCCTGGGAGGGCATGGAAAAAGGGACTTCAGCTGCTGGGCCCACTTTATCCTAAAAACTATGAGAAACTATCCCAGGTGAATGACGAGATGAATGTGACATTCTTGAAAAGATCACTCCAGCAATGGTGTGTGAAGCACCAGAGGGGTTAAGCCGGGAGCAATCTAACCAGGGGACTGATTAACTCAGTGATACAGGCTGAGGGAGGAGGGATACAACGGAGGGGATGGATTTGAGAAATATTTTGGAATCAAGAGGGTGTTAGGACCATCTGAATATATGGGGTGAGAGAGAGAAAACAATTGTAAATGATGTAGTACTTTCTGGATAGTGTCTGATTTAGTTTATAATCATTTATGAGTTTCAACTACTAACGTGTAATTTATTCCTTTTCATCAAAGATATCAGAATACGTAAAGACATATTCTTCCAAAGCACATAAACATACATTATGAAAAATAGCGACGAATATCCAAAAAGGAGATGACTCACTTGAAGCTTGCCCAGTGGTAAGTCCTCATTTCTAAGAACCGGCAAACAACCATGCCCAACCAGATGCCACCACCATTACACAACAGGATGTCCAGAATGACTTGATCCCACCAGCACTCAGCAAAATTTGGCAGAAGATGCATGAAGAAAAGCTGAGGACACAGAAAAAGATGATAGTTGTAAAAAACATTGGCGGGTACCATGCAGAAGGATAATTTCTTCCTTTATAACACACTATTATAGGGTCTACAGAGTTGCTATGAGTCAGTATTGACTGGACGGCAATGGGTTTGGTTTGGTTTCAGTTTATTTTAGAAGAAGCTGTCGACATTTCATTCTTTCCTAATGCATTAACAGAAACAAGGTCTGAATCTGGTTCTTCTTTTTTATATTGCAGATGGACTGCAACTAATATTAATCCAAGCAACTCTTATTTTTTTTCCTATGGGGCTTTTAATAAGTGATGGCCCCTCTTGAGATATACTATGAATTAATTACCTTGGATAATGAGAACATGACAAGGATCTAGGAGGAGATAAGGAGAAAAGTTTCTCATACCCAACAGCAAAGCACTGACATAATCCTCTAAATTTGCAGCTTAAGAATTCAAGTTGTGCATTTTCAGAAATATTCCGTAGATACTTAGGTAAAACAGTGGGTAAATCATAAAAGCAGAAAGGTTAGACCTTTACGACATGATGTAGGAAAGAGACATCTTAATAGAAAATCTCACAAATAACCAGTTCACACTAGTGATGATCTTTTATTAAGCACCCAGGATATGTGAGGTGGTGAGACAAAATGAAATTAAGATTCTTGATATCAAATGGCAGTCTGATGTTTATCCAGATAACCATAACCACAAATGAAGGTAGACTGTGGCAAGTGTTACAGTGGTGACATAAATCAAGTAAGGTGGGGATAAAGGAGGCAAATGGGAAAGTTTCTGGAAGGAAGACACATTGCAGTGGGATCATTATGGACAGGTATGACTGTTCTCAAGATGCCCTGGTGGTGCCATGGTTAAGCACTTGGCTGCTAACCGGGAAGGTTGGTGGTTCGAACTTACCCAGCTGCTCCACAAGAGAAAAGACCTGGCGATCTCTCCTGTAAAGATTATAGCCCAGGAAATCCTAAAGGATGCACTTCTACTCTGTCATATCGGACTGCTATGAGTCAGAATCCATTCAACGGCACACAACAACAACATAACTGGTTTCAAGAGGGAGCGATGAAGATGAGGACATTCTCGACAGGAGAAACAGTATAATCAAGGGTAGAACAGAAATCTTATAAAAATCCTTTTGTCCAAAACAAAGGGACTATTGGCCATGTCCAGAGCAGCAAGTCCTGCTGTGTGAAGGCCCACTTTCAGAAGGTCTGAAATCACAAAGATGATGCCTAGAAGTTCTCTGGAATGAAGCAACCCTCATAATTACAAACCTCTGAAGTAACATAAATATTACAAAGATAAAACTATACTCCTCAAAGCACTTTATAAACTATAAAACAATATACAGATAATATCCTTATTAAGTGTGCCTGCTGCCTTTAAGACAGAGAACATCTACTGCATGTGATAGCTTGGGGCTGTGTTCTTACCCAGGTGGGCCTGGCACTCCCCCTGAAGTGCATTCCCTGGTTCCAAGCCACTAGGTGGAGCATCACCTCTTGCCCCATGGCAAGGGGAGAAACTTCAGCTGAAGTCCATGACACGTATTTCATGAAACAAAACTATGCAAGGGAGTGGGATGTAGAGGACATGCTTCGGCCTGAGGCCCTGTCCTAGATAGATGCCTGGATATACTCTTGGGTCAAGATGAGCCCCTGAGAAATCAGAGTCTGGGAGGGGACCACATCACACACTCACTAGGGCTCGGTGGAGCATCTACTCTGCATAAGGCAGAGTACCATGATCTAGGAATATACAGGCGTGGACCCGGCCCTCATGAGGTATAAAGAAGAGACACTGACCCAGGATCTAAAATGTGGTGAGCATTTCAAAGGAGAAGGGTGAGGTGCTGTATTCTCAGGTGTATAAACATGGACCAAAGCTAGTCTAGGGATTGGGGAAAGCTTTCTGAGGAAATGCGATTTAAGCTGTCCCTTTTTGTTTTATTTCTTATTTATTTTATTCTTTGTTGTTGTTAATACACACAGCAGAACATATACCAGTTCAACAGTTTCTACATGTACAATTTAGTGACACTGATTACATTCTTCAAGTCATGCAACCATTCTCACCCTCCTTTGCCAAACTGTTCCTCCTCCGTTAACATAAACTCACTGCCCCCTAAGTTCCTTACCTACATAAACTTTTGAGTTGCTTTTGTCAATTTGATCCCATATAGACAGTTCTTAAAAAAGCACAATGCTCAAGGCAGACATTCTTTACTAATTAAGCTAAACTACTGTTTGGTTTTAAGAAGACGCCAGGCGATACTTTTTGTTTAAGGTTTAAAGATCATCTCAGGGCAACAGTAAGCTGCACCTTGACAGATACGCAGGTTAGTACGGGAAAGGACAGGTAGAGAGGAAAGAGCTTGTATGAGCGTTCTGTGGTGGGAAAGAACACAAAGTCTTCTGAAAGAATGAAGAAAGCCAAGCTGGCCAGAGCATAGAGAGCAGGTAGAGAGGGTCTTGGGTGGGCAGGGACAGGTAGCATAGCGCCTTGTAGGCTGACTTGGAAGTTTGGATTTTATCTGAAGACCAAGGGAAAACATTAAAGAGTTTTTAAGAGAGAGACATGATCAAGTTGAGGTCTGAAAAGGATCACTTTGGCAATGAACAGTGAATGGAGGAGACAAGTAATTCATACGAGAGATGAGAGTGGATCAGACACAGGTAGGACGGAGCAGGGGGTTGGAAGGGCCTAGAGGGATTGTAGAGGTGTTCAGAAAAGAGTCTACAGAGCTTGGTGACTACAGGACGCTGAGGAGCAGGAAAAGGAAGGTACAGCGAGATGTCCAGTCTGTAGTGTGAGTGAAGAGGAAGCAACGGAGGTGAAAAATGTGAAGGTTATGGAGACGCCTGGAATCACAGACATAGAATGCAGCATAAGGGCAAGAACACAGGCTTCACATCTGCAGTCAAGCACATCCAGAACCCAATCCTGGCTCACCTAATGAACCAAGGCTCTGAGCACTGGTTTCCACATCTGTACAATGGGAACATCCACTGCCTTTTCTAGTTTACTGTGGGGACTTAACGACAATACAGGTACAGGTAAAGTGCTGGGCGCGTGAACAGAAGGTATCTCTACCGACACACGCCTCTAAGTTAGGGTCAGGACAATGACTGGCATCAAGTAATATACTGTGCACGTGGCCAAATTTTGTTCTCTGGGAATGATTAAGAAGACTAATATAATAATTGAACAATAAATGAATTAGTTCCCAAAATTTCATTTGGACAATAGTTTTTCAAGAACATTTCTCTTTCGTTGATTAAATGAGACGAACTTTGATCACAGAGATGATGGAGCTATACTGGAAGTCTGTTTTTCAGCTACAAAATATTCTGGATGCCTTTGTAATTCTTAAACACCACACTTCTGTTTCTCCCAAACTAGAGACTAGTTAGTGAGTACACCTATTTACTTTTAAGCTGATCTCATTATTATGTGTCTGACTTGGGATTTTTAACTTCATCCTTTAGATTGATTTCATTTGTTTGTCTTTAAGACTTATGCGATAAAAGCTCACTTCATTAAGCTAACAAGGAGATTTTTTTTTTTAAAAAAAGAAGAGGTATAAAATATTCTTATGGGATGGTTTAAAATCTATTTTGTACAGCAGGGGCTGGAGGATGGATTAACTGACTGCTGACTGACAGACTGTCTTCTTCCTACATAAAAGGTACACAAACTGAATAGTTTAGAGTCCTTGCCCTGAGCCTCCCATCACTTCTTACCTCAGTTAGCTCCCAGGTAATACTGATTGTCCAGCAGAGGCCATAACTACGGATCAACAAGGCCTTCATGGCCCAACCCCAGAAATGCCCAAATGCAAAGATATCAAAGTGGCTGATAATCCTCTCCCAGGTGATAACATGACAGTTCACAGCATACTCCTATTTAAAATAAAAAGGGAAATAATTAACAACACTCGAGCAATCCACTTGCTTCCACGATTTTGACAGTCAGTGAAAAGAACTGATACAACCATGACAACCAATATATATCCTGCTCCATTTTAAAGATGCTTTAATAACCGAAGATTCTTGAGGAAAAATGGACAAGCACTAAGAGTTTATAAATCAGAATTGCTTTGCTTATATGAACAGGTCCTCAGAGTTTAGGAACATGTGGATGATTACCTGAAGGAAGTAAAAGGTGATCAGGGACAGAGAACAG